TGTATTTTCTAAATTTTTTTTTTTTTTGGTCTTTCCTGTGTGTCTCTGCATATTTTGCTTTGAAGCAATTCCCAATCCATCTCCTGCTTAGAACCCTCTCATATCTTCTCCTTCTCTGGGAGAATTATGAAGTAAAATAACTCCACCATAATTTAAAATAACTTCTTTATGCTTCAGCACAAAACTATGAGATTACAGAAGTATCTCTCTTCCAAAGGTGCCTTTTTGGACAAAACTTCCAAGCATTACATTGATAACTGTGATAATTTCACAACTAATGAACTAAAGACAGAAATCTACAAAGTGCTTAAATATATTATACAATATTATATCATATTATAGAAGGTTCAGGCACGTGAGCAGGTTGGAAGTAAAAAGACTGGTCTAGTTCCACCTTCATGACATAGAACATATAGCAGGTTTTGCTACAAATCTGACACAAATACAGGTTACAGATGTAACAGTGCATAATGATCAAACCACAGTATTTTGCAGCTGCCTACTTCTCATCCTTTTGCCTTCACAAGACCAAGCCACTAGGCTTTGTTTTCCAGACTCTCAATAGTACTCCCACTTATTAGACATCTTCTGTTTCAAGTCTATTAACTCTTTTTCTTTTTGTATAAAAACATCCATGGTGCTTATACAAAATGAACTCTATCACTATCCATAAAGATAGCAGTAGAATGTTTTATTCTACTGGGACACAAAGAACAAGGGGAAAAAATTACAAGTAAAACTATAAGCCTTACCATTTCCCTTCTTCTTTCTTCTTCCCTTTCAGCCTCTTTTTCATATTCTCGACTTTTCTTCCGTTCTCTGATTTCCCAGTTTTTAAGACGCTACAACAGAAGAAGAAACACACACTCCAATCTCAAGAACATTAAGAACAGTGGTACTACTTTGAAGTTAGTTAGCATTAAAATTAAGCAAATTATTTATTTATAATTTAAAACCCTGGAATAAGAAGTCCAAAGTTGTTCTGACAGTGACTAACATATTCTGCCCAATTCATGTAGTCAAAGGATTAAAAATGTATTTAACTAAAAGGAGAGGGAGAAAAAATGACGTATTTTATAGTAGAAGACATTATAACCCCTCAGAAACAATTTTTTCCTTAAGAAGCCTTAAAAATCCCAACCTACCTCTTGATATGCAGCTTCTTTTTCCCGCAGTTTCCTCTCTAGTTTTCGGCGTTCGTAGGCATCTTCTTCATCTTCTTCTCGGTCTCTCTTCTTATCCTTCTCCCGTTCTCGTTCCCGTTCTCGTTCTCTTTCCCGTTCCCGTTCTCGTTCTCTTTCCCGTTCCCGTTCTCGTTCTCTTTCCCGTTCCCGTTCTCGTTCTCTTTCCCGTTCCCGTTCTCGTTCTCTTTCCCGTTCCCGTTCTCGTTCTCTTTCCCGTTCCCGTTCTCGTTCTCTTTCCCGTTCCCGTTCTCGTTCTCTTTCCCGTTCCCGTTCTCGTTCTCTTTCCCGTTCCCGTTCTCGTTCTCTTTCCCGTTCCCGTTCCCGTTCTCTTTCCCTGTCTCTGCTTTTTTCTCTGAAGGAAGGAAAAAGTCCAAAGTTAAGTACAGAGCCATCCTCTCCACTCAATGAAATGATTTAACTTCAAATGCATAATGCACTATTTACAGCATCTTGCAAGTTATTCTTCTTCTGCAATTGTACAAGATGATTAGCTGATACAGCAATGGGCATAAATCAATACTTCTAATATATTCAAAAACCCATTTACCTAAAAGTAGTTGTTTGAGCACTAACCATTAAATAGTGATATTTACCGAAACTAAGCGTGAGCACATGGCAATTCTTATCAGACTGTATTAGTAGTTCTCCATAAATAAGTGACAGCTAAAAACCCCACAAATAAAGGGTATGCTTAATAAATCCTTCATGTTTACATGGCTTACACACAACTTGAACCCTACTGACAAGATGATTTAAAGTGAAACAGCTATTTTTTCTATGGTGAAGAGGGAAAAAGCAGCATCTAGAGCCTGACATGATTAGTCACAGTTTAAGACTGAAAGAGGAATCACCTTGCTTTTATTTAAAAAAAACCCAAACAACCAAAAAACCAACACATAACAAAGGAAAAGGTAAAACCTACTTAAACTAAAAGATACCACAGACATAAAAGAACCTCAAGTAGGAATAAAGCTACCCATGAAAAAATAAGAGAGATTTGAGATAAAACCAGTATGCTTAAGTCATGGTTGGGTGGTTGCTTACTGCATATTGCAGTCCTTATATTCCTGTGCTATAGAGTGAATCAAGTATTCTTCCAGTTTGTGTAAACACAGTATTTTCTAAAATTTTGATTTCCTGTTTTTACTCTGATCTTCCAAAAGGACCATTCTCTTTTGAATGGCAGCTGATCTGCTGAACTATACACACTTGGTAAACGGCACTAGGAAAAAAAACCTGAAATAAATAGCAACTCAAGTGCGCTTACCTTGATCTGCTCCGATCCTTGTTGCGATCTGAACTCCTTTCACGATCTCTGTCACGATCTCGGTCTCGTTCGCGGTCTCTGTCTCGGTCCTTAGTTCGGTCACGATCCCTATCTCGCTCTCGTTCACGCTCCCGTTCCTTCTCCTTCTCTCGTTCACGCTCCCTCTCTCTTTCACGCTCCCTCCTTTCTCGTTCACGCTCCCGTTCCCTTTCTCTTTCTCTGCGTTCTTTTTCAATTTCCTGTCTTTCTTTCTCCTTTTTGCCTTTTTCCTCCTCCAGTTTCTAAAAACCAACAAGAGAACTTTCACAGTTAATTTTGTAGTTATAGGAACTGGATATTCCCGGCGCAACACACAAGGCTGGTAATGGAAATACCAAAACCGCCACTGATTTTTAAATATTAAATAGGGTTTGGTGGGTATTTTTTGGAACTCGTAAGTATGAAATCAAAATGCAGCAATCACAAGACTAAGTTTCGTGCAAAGCATAGATCTACACAGACCAGCAATCTCCAACCTTAGCAGAGTAGGGCTGGCCTCGTATTATAAGCTGACTACACTGCACATACACAGTGCACTGCCAGTCATGATTCAGGTGGGCCACAAATTCCCTTGGCCCTATAAGCCACTTGGGTACAAGCAAAGTGAACTTCTAGCTGATGAAATTAATTCTGTTCAACTAGGAAAATATATTTCAGTGGAATGTTTACTGGGACAGCGAGTTGTTTCCCAAAAAGTCTTGGCAGACCAAAACCATCCTATATGAAAACTTGGGTGAAGAAATTTATCCACTTACACGTGGTGCATGTGGTTAAACAGTGAAGAGAGCTGCAACCTTTCCCCTTTTCCCTCCCTAAAAAAGAGAATCTAACAGTTCATTGGTAAGAACTGGACTCTGCAGAATGGAATCCTTAACTTCCACCACTGCAAGATGGAGAGAGTTAAAAAAAAGGTTGGAAATAGCTCTTTTGAAACACAGAAACTAAAGGGTTACCTGCTACAGTTTTACTAAAAATTGTACAAAATTGCCACTTTTTTTTCAATTAGAAACAGTTCCTATGACCAGAATTCCTATAAGACAATAGAAAATACATCAACAGAATGATAGATAAATCCATCCTTGGAAGCAATTGTTATGTGTTAACTTACAGATGCTGTGCTAGGACATGGACCGCCAACACTGGATTAACCTTGCCTATAAGCTATGTTTCTGGGAGGAAGAGCAAGTACACGGTTCACAAATATACCAAATAACAACCAAATATACCAAATTTCAACCTGATGGATGTCAGAATACCACTTTTTTGAACAAATATTGAGCAGAATAAACAGGTTTATCCCCTTTGGCTTCACGTTTACCATCACTGAAATGAAATTAAAAACTGGAACAATGAAACAGCATTTTCTCTGTTTGGGTTTTTTTTTTTTCTTTTCTTTTAAACAAAGCATTTAAGACAACTTTAAAAAGCAATCTTACCTGATAACTGTTCTTCTGCCATAGGCACAGGGACCAGAGAACCGACAAAGGATTACAGAAATAAAGCTAATTCACTAGTGATTAATGTATCCAGTGAAACTACACTGCATTGATAGCACAATACAGGCAAACCAATGTTGGATACATTGAAATCACAAAAGGAAAAAGGGACTAAAAATGGTAGGAATTGGTAGAAAACTGATATGAAAAAACAAAACTTAGATTCTACAATATACACTGGGCTGAAAACCAATTTCTAAAGGACTGTATTTTACAGGAGCTTTACAGTGTTAAACCTCAGTACGGTCAGATGTTAAACTAGGTTGTCAACTTTTAAAAATCCAACTTACCTCAAATTTCATATACTTTTAAAGAAAAGTTTACATACTGAAGTGGTTGATACTTACAGGTTATCTTAGATGTTCCAATAGAAATTTCTTTGGTTGAAACTCCTGCTTTTTTGCCACTCTCAAACTTTGTTCATGGTGAGATTTCTCAAGAGAGTGGGTTGGTTTCTTTTTTTTTTTTTTAACATATTCACACAAGTGTAAATATACACACACAAGTCTTGGTGTATTAAAATCCATTTTGTAGGTCCGCTTTCTTAAAATCCAATTGAAAAAATAAATTGGCCTATTTTGTAATCAGAATCTGACCTCATCAACTTCTATCAGCCTAAATAAGAGGATCTGAAAGGGTAATGGGATGGGAACGGTATCAGATAAATTGAAGTAATGAACAGAAATGAACAGGTAGAAGAATTATAAATCTTACCTTGAGCTCTCTTCAGACTCGTCCGTGCTGTAAATGGACGCCCCCTGCAACGCTGATACCCTGACAGTCTGTGGTTATTGTTTTATAAACTCATACCAAAAACATGCAAAGGTTCACTGTGCTCACTAGCCAGCTGCTAAAGATTCAACAGCCCCTTTTAAACATATCCAATATACACAATGACTACTTTCAGTTGATTTTTAATGTTAAGAAACCCAAAATAGTCCCCCCCAATAATACAGATTAAAGGCAATAAAATGCCCAACAGCTTCTGAAACAACGAAGCATGTTTTTTGTTTGGTTGGTTTGTTGTTTTTTTTTTTTTTTTAAAAAAAACTTATTACTTGTTTGCATCTTAGTACCAGTGACGACTTAGGGCTCGGAATTGAACACAATTATACTGAAGTTTCACCACTGACCAGTTTCACATTCAATTGCTGAGCTTCTCCAGATGATTTCTTCTAGAATTTTTCCCCAGGTTTTTATCTCCAACAACTTCAGTCAAGACAAAAACTGAATACGTGTACATACAACAATGTGTAGTCACTTGTGTTTACATTGATACAGTTGCGTGAAAACATGGTACCATCCCCAGTGACTGCATGTGGTAAAGCTAAATAACACGGGCATACTTCACCTTGCTGTACCTTCAACATTTTCTTTAACGTTGATTTAGGGGTATTTTGAAATAAAGGTGTGTGCTCAAAAGAGGAGCTTGCTGATACTTCCCTAGGCCAAGGACCATACCAGTCTTGTTGGGGAAAAAATAACACCAACTTTAAGCTAAACATTAAAATAAGAACATTACATGCATAGTTGTGCTTTACTATCCGCAAGTATCATTTTCCAAAGCAGAAACATTCACAGATGCACTAGCATTAGTGGAAACTTCTGTAAGTGGGAACCCTGAGGTGGGACTTGATGTGCACAAACATTTTTCCAAGCCAGTTACCCCTTTGCATATTTTTCTGAGGGGGCATCCATAAGTATAATAAAAAACAGAAGCTCATACTTACATCCTATTCCATGTTACTTTCCAAGCTGTGAGTTTCATCTTGCATTAGTCACCATATGATCTCTATCATAATGGTGGGGGTCAATGAATAGATTAGCTTTATGGGAATTTACAGTTCTTCCATGCATCTAAAGTTTGGTAAGTCTGGTAACCACTGACCTATTTTTAATCTTCCCCCACTCTTAACTTAGAACTATTAAAATAAAAGACTTAAATTTAATTCAAGTTTCAACTCTTCATAAAATCTTGGATTATGTTACAAGTCTACCTACAGAAACACACTCAAGTGTATGTCTTATACTGCAGCCCCGTTTAGCCTTTAGTTATAAATATCTTGACTTAATGTATGTGTAGAAACTTAAGTTGCCTTTATTCATGTTAAAGTGAGAAGACTGCAAAATACTCAGTAGCAATCAAAGTCTTAGCATAAAGATGTCAAGGGCCACTTTAACGTGGTAGTTGTCTTTTTTTGACTTGTAAAGAACTATATGTATATTAAACCTAATATAAACATCATTTTAAGTGATATTGCAATGTAATGCTAAGTTTTATAATAGTGGTTTTCTGGATTTTGAAAAAGCCTAATTTGTATCAAGCGCAAAAACAAGAATACTACCTTGTGTGTGTCTCTGAATTTACTGATCTCTCTTGATATCAGGTCTCTTTTGTCTTCCTCCATTTCTATAGCATTTATATCCTCCTAAAAAACAAGGGGGACAGGAGGAAAAGCATTAAGAGCCATCTGTACAGACATAGGAGAACAAGAGAAAAGCTGAAGGTTAGAAGTTTTCAACCAGTCTTGCAAGAGATAAATAAAGTCCTTCTGCAGTACCAAACCTGACAGTCTGATGTTAATGAGTGAAAAAAAAAAAAATCAGATGGACAAGAGTCACAAATCTGGCAACTAGCAGTAAACATAGTCATTGTCAAAGCCTACAATGTAAACGAACCTTGGTGATGAGTGGATAAGGTATCAGTGGGGCCACTGGAAATCTGCGGAAAATCTGCGGAAAAATCCACGGAGATTTTTTTTTTTACAAATAGATTGCACACTACTCTGAAAAACAATGTTTTGTATGTTTGTACTATAAAGCAATATTGTATTGCTGTGATCTCATTTCTTTGATTCAACAAAATTACAGAAGAACCTCGCTAATTCTCCCTTCTCTGAACTACTTAAAATACATAGTGAGGTCTCATATTAGTAAGACTTCACTGAATTACAAGTATACTACAGGATATTAGTACGCTATGGTAGCATCATAAACAAGACTAAGCTACACTTGCCAATATAAATGATCAGTATATTTGCGGTGGGTATGTCTTGATTTTATTTACTCGCTAATTCGCAAAATTTGGTAGATTGCACCTACTAACTAATAGTTAGTGCGAATTAGCGAGGTTCCCCCGTGCTTGAAATTGAAAACCAGATTCCACTCACTCTCAGTTCCCCGCACACATTTTCAACTCCCCCACATCAGTCATGCCTTCATCCAGAAGAACTAACAAGAGACTCTGCTGCTAACACCAGCGGGAGTCTTCTTCACATCAAGCCCTTCAGGGGACAACAGCCCCAAAGCTGGTGAGTTTCCCCTCGCCACCCCCCACCCCCCACATATATCTGCATCCATCTTCCCTTTCCCCCCACCCTCCACAGTCCTTCTCTCCCCTCTCCTTTAAGGGCAAGAGAGCAATGAGCTAGGACCATCTCTTCACTCCCACCTCTATCCACACAGGCCAAAGATGGCAACTTCCAATTTTCTTTTCCTCCTTCCCAGTACGGGAGGGATGATAGGGTGTAATTTCAACCCACAAGTGCTATGTATTTAAAAAGAGCTTGTTTGTCTACTTGACTAGCTCAGATTGGTCAAATTCTACATCATACAGAGCTAGCAGAATATCCCTCTGTCCCAGGGACATACTCAGCACCCAGCTCTTCCAAGACTGCAGTGGTCTCTTACGTTTAACTACCTGGCATTATTCATGGCCATATATATATATATGTACCCACAGGACAATACACATTGTAACAATGCTTGTAACAAAAAGTACAGCTGATAGCATTAGACAGTGACTCATTTGTAAGTTCTCATCCAAGAAAGCATCTTCTCCCAAAGGGAGGGAAAGGAAAGAAAAACAAATTCTCAGCTCAGCACTCTTATACCTCAGGTCAGCCATGGCTAACCATGTTGTGGGGAAGATACACTCACTCCCTGAGGGAGATGTTGCTTCTTGCACCACACTTAAACTCCATAAGCATTTGAAACTGCATTATTGCCTTGGAATAGGTACTTTGCAGAAGACTTAAGTGGGTAAAAATCTTGGTCAAACAATTTTCCAATCTCTTTCATATTAGGTGCAGAATAGTAGGTGTGAAAGCCCGTTTTCCCATGGTTAGAAACTTGGCTGGAAAAGCTAAGTCTGAGTTTGCTCATTCTTATTCCCCCTTCTCCAGTTTGTTTTAATCCATAGAAAGGTCATCCACAGAAGCGGGTCTAAACCAGAACATTCATTCCTGCTTAACAGGGTTTTTTTTGTATTACATGAAAACCAGCTGATCAAATCCAGCCAAAATTGAGACGTGCATGTAAAAGTGATTTTGTAAGGCAGGAAGATTACAATATGCCTTTCATCCCTGAAGGATCCCTCCAAGGTTTGTGAGGTATACATATATACAATTAATGAAGCACTTCCACATCTGGAGAGACAGCTGCAACCAGTTGGATCAAGGCACACTACAAGAATGCATACTATAAGCAGAGAGAAGAATTTTGTCAAAAACTACCAGAGCAAATTCCTGCCATTACAAAAGTGCCCTGGCATCTTTCAATGGAAATAGACAGTATGCAGGAACTCTTTACAGTTGTTTTTTTAAGTTCTCATCTGAAAAACCCTACACGTACATACAGATTAAATTGCACTAAATTCACTATTTCCACCTTCAGAGGGATGAAAGGTTGGTTCAATCCTGCCCAGATTCAAACCTGTTGTTCCAAGAAGTCTAGGTGCTTAGATGCCTAAACCACCCTGAAGGGATGGTGTCTATAACTGACTAGCTTTCAGCTTAAAAAAATGAAACTGCTGCTGACATCAATGCTTGTTGATTTGTTTTCTCATCAGAAGTTTAGGTTTAAAGTATTTGCACAAGGTTTGGCCATTATATAAAGGTGAGTTGAAGAAAAATCTGTTTTGTCCAAAATCAAAACACATACGTCCTCCTTCTTTTCCTTTTTCTTCTTCCTGGGGTGAGAGTCAGATTCCTGGGAGGGGGCATTGAGCTCGCTGGAGTATTCTCGTATTAAGACTTCAATGGCCCCTTTAATTATCTGATCTCTTCTCTTTGTTTCCTCATCCAGTGCTTCATCGTCATCATTTGTTGTCTCTGGTCTGGAGTTCTAAGGAAAAATTGCAAAGTAACAGGAATCAACAAATTGAGAATATTATTAGTTTTATTTCAGAAGTTCACCTTTGTTCATCACATTCGTCCCCCTACAGCATTTACTAAAAAAACAAAACAAAAATCAAAAAACCCACAAAAACAAAACCACCTACAAGTAGTTATCAATTGCAGTCAGATCTTTTCACACTGGCAATACCATAGGGACCACAGTTTTACATGTGGAATGGCTGCAGAGAGCAAGTGTAGGATTGCATAATAAAATAGAACAGATAAATGGTGATTAAGGTGGTAGACAGGAAAAGAGAAAGTGCACGCACGCTCACAGAAAGGCAATCATTACAGTCCAGCTCTTGGTCAAAAGTTTCTGCCTTGTACCCTCCAGAACTTCAAGTCCTTTCAACAGCAGCTCCTCAAAGCCTTCTACTTAAGTGCCATGCAATACAAATGTCTACCTGTAACCGTCAAGCTGCAACTTATAATGGGAGAACTATATTAAAGAAACATTGTTAGGGAAAACATTCCTTGCACAGCAAACATTTTCTTATTATTGTTGATCAATTACTTTTAGTTCCTCATCTTTTCGCCCTTTCCACCTTGTAGGGAGGAAAGGGAACAGACGCAAAGAAGTGCATTTCACTAAATGTTACATGAAAGGGTAGAACAATGATCTGCATACTGAGCAAGGTAGCCCACCTCTTGATCCCCTGAATCTTTTAAAAAAATGGAATCTCACCTGAGAATCCAGCTGGGTATCCCGTCAAGCGATAGGTGGTGGGTGGAGTGAGGGGGAGGGAAGGGTCTGATGGAGCAGCAGCTAAGAATGAGGGGGAAGGGAGGATTCAGTTGGAGCTGTAGAGGCTGCCAGGCCAAGGAGAAGCAGGCTGAAAAGAGCTAGAAGGCAGTGACAGGGAGTGGAATTGAAGAGGTCCAGGGAGAAGAAGTGATCAGGGAGAGGAGCTAATTAGATAAAGGTTTGCTTGGCGTGTCTCTATAAGAAATGGTGTTGTAGTGTACACATTTGATTTCTCAATAAAGATTAAAGAAAAAAGTTGCAACTTTTGGATCCGAGTGGCACCAGCACACCAATGATGGTATGAAAGGAATCGCAAGCAGTAGGATTACAATATGCTTCATCAACACTCCTTCGCAATTCACAGCCTTTCTTTGCACCAGCACAAACAAAAAAAAACAAACACATTTGGAGCTAATCTCATTCTACAGTTCAATGGAATAGACACATACTGTTGTCTTGACCAAAGCCACAAACACTACAAACAGTACCCTCTGCTTTATTACAATCAATCCTGGGGGATTGATTGTAACCCACAGGAGCTCACAGAAAACAGAATTCATGAGAGAGAGATGTACAAGAACTCCACTGATACTTTAAGCTTGTTTATACTTTCAGCTGTGAAGCATAGTATTACAGGTGATGCCAACAGGAAACAAGGAAGTATGGAATGGAAGGGGCAGTTAAGTCAAACCCTTACCTAGGTTAACAGCTAGTACATTACTCCATTCAAAACCCATGAAGTTAGCACTCTGCTTTACTGAGCCATTGCATTTAATCCCATACACTGGGTACACAGTCAAAAACGTGTCAAGTACTTCAAGTCATCATTATGTCTCTAGCTCTGGTTAAATAAAATGAAGTAAAAGTACTTGTGTTCCCACTGTATTTTACATACCTTTAAGAACAAGTCCAAATTGGAATTTTTAAAAATTTACCTGCTACAGTCTGATTAGTATTTTTAGTTTTTTGAACAAGAGCCTCTTCTCACTTTCATTTTACAGAAAATTGTTTTAGGTATTATATTTAGGCATATGCAGAACTTTAAAATAGAGACCAAGCCCAACAACTTGATTGTGATGTGAAACACATTATTTTAACAAAGAAATAAATAAAATTCATTTTAACGCAAATTTGTCAGTTAAGTATCTTTGTATCTCACAAGAATTCAACATATCAAATATCTGCAATTATTCCAGAACAGATCCTTAGCTTTAGAAAGGAATGGTACAAAACCAATTTCCCCATCTACTAAACATCTGTAAGCTGCCCACTGCCTGATGACTGCACCATCTACTGAATGACCTACTACTTTCCTTGTCATTAATTTGTTCTAGATCATCAGTGGAGGGGAAAGAAACTCCAGTTCTCCTCAGACAGATGATTTACAGACTCTGACAGAGTAACAATTACTTCTAAAGTTTATATACTTCCAAGAGTTTCTAAACAAAAATGAAGCAACAGAATCATAAGGTATAGCACGTATTACTACACTTTAGAATGAACTACAAAATTAATTCTAGAGATTCAGTTGTAGCTTACAGATAAGTTTGAATGCTGATGAATTAAGAGCTTACACTTCACTGCCTTTCAACATATCTTCAGACTCATTAATGTGATTCTGGCGAAATCCTAAAATGAATTAAGGGCAGAGACAAGAATAGAAACTAAGAGACACACTTGCAATCTGATCTAGCAAGTACGTTACATTGCCCTCCTGCCAAAATAACACAAGTCACACGTACGTATTATATACGTACCCCATTAGAAGCCTTTTTCTTTGCTTTCCATTCATCTAGCTGAGCCTTTGTCTTTGCATCAACTTTGACTAGCAGCTTCTTCTCTCCAATCTGGAGGTCATGGAGTAGCCTCAGTGCTCGTAGTGTGGATTCTGGTTCTTTGTACTCACAAAATCCGAAGGCTGAAATGGATGATTGAAATGAAAAGTAAAAGTGTTAAAGCTCTTCAGGTAATTTACTTTGTGTAAAAAAAAGTGCTTTGAATCAGTAACTTGGAACACAGGCACTTCTTTTTTTAAAACCAGGAGTACACATCATAAAAAGTCAGAAAGATCATTCACTGTATTAGTCTTTGATATACCTAACGGCTCACTGAATAAGGTGAAAGCAATACATACACTATAGATGCCCCATCCCTGGAAACATTCAAGGTCAGGTTGGACGGGGCTCTGAGCAACCTGATCTACTCGAAGACGTCCCTGCTCATTGCAGGGGGGTTGGACTAGCTGACCTTTGAAGGTCCCTTCCAACCCAAACTATTCTATGATTCTATGATTGTGTTTGTAAAGCTTTTGACATGTCTGTCTTAACTAAGGAATGCAGTCTATATGAAGACATGTCTCAGGTGGATTTGCAATTGTCTGAAGACCAAGGATATCAATCAACAGCTCACTGTTAACCTAGAGGGAGGGGTATTTCAAACTAGGTTCTTGACAACAGTTACAAAAAGTTGTAAATGAGAAAAACAACTCATGAGAGCTAAATAAACAAAGTATGATATATAAGAAAGCTGAAAAAAATGAATTGCATCTTAAAGAAAAAAAACAACCTAGAGAAGATATGAAAACACTAACAGCAAAAAATAGTAACCAAAATTGTTTCCTGTATCCACTGGAGAAAGGTCACAAGAAAAAATAAATCAGTTCAATTTGATGATTGGGAAGGAAGAAATTTTACATCAGGAAAACCTCCTTAACAGAGAAGGATTATACATAGTAATGGAAGAGACTATTAACAATGCTGCAAATATGCTCCTTTGGAGGCTAAGTCCAAACTGGTAAACCTTTCTCAGGTATGGCCTATAAACTCCTGATTCAGTCTCAGAACAGAAAGGTGAGCAAAATTAGGCCCCCAAGACATTTTCCCATTTAACCTTTCTCAATTTTATTTTTCTCGTTCTGTCTTGATTCCAAGGACAGAAAATACTAGCCCCTTGCTAGGAAGTATTTAGCAGTTAAGTATCATATATAATATCTTAAAATGTAAAAGTATTAAGAATAGCAATGTGTCAGACATTTGAAAAGCTGCCAGGTAATAAAAACAAGAGTCTGACTAGAGATTTTGGAAAGTATGAACAATTACCTTGAAGTTTTCCAGATGCCCCTTGTACTCTCTTCCAACTCAAAACCAAGCCACATTTCTGCATTAAAAATAAATATTAATTAAATATTATAGTTTATGTTCAAAACATTACAACTTAACCCCTTTTTGCAAAAGATGACATGTAAAAAGGGTAAACGCTACTAAAAATAAAATATGTCTATGTTCACTGACATCTACAGCTTAAAAAAAGCTGTACTCTTCACTTACTGACTTTAAACTCAAGTGTAATGGACTGCTATTCCAGTGAGTGGGACTAACTCCGCTTTTAGCTTCAATCCACTCCTTGTGGGTCATTACTTCATTCATCAGCCAGGGATGAAGTTTAACAAGCAGTCCACTGTACTTACTGCTAGAAGCTGCCGTATGAGCATGTCTGAAGCCTTCTCAGAAATGTTGCCTACAAAAACGGTGGTAGTGGGACCGCTGTTTTCATCGTTTTCTTTGTTCTTTAAGCCAGGATGTTCTTTTCTGGCTCCCAAATGTTTTCCAACCATAGACACTGTGGTAGGAACTAATACCTAGAAAGAGGAGGAGAGGGTGTAAAATGAAGTCTTGGGTTGATTGGTTTTTTTTTTTTTTTATTTAAATCCGTAAGACAAAAAGAGTTGGGGATGCACATGTATTTCAAAATTAAATTTTCATAGTTACGCTTACGGAGTGAGACACAAATAAGTGGTTCAGGCTTTAACACTCTATACAACACAAAAAAGACTGCCATTTTCTGGCAAAGACAGACAGGAAAAAAAAGGTGTACCTGAACATGGCTACTGGAAGGTCTCAAGGTGAGCATACAGTAACATTAGGTATTATTTCTTCTACAAATAACTAATTTGCAACATTTGAGTCACTGGAAGTTGAAGTACCTTACCTAACAGTGTAAAGAGCAAGCTGCAAATAGAAAAGTAACTCTGACTCAAAAGGCTTCAATGGACACATGACAGGTCTTAAAGCTTTCAGAGAGTGAATACACACTACTGCTTTATTTAATCAATACAGAACCCAAAGCCTCTTCGGGTAAAGGAACAAACATTTGTAAAATAAACCATACAGAAATAGGCACCATCATCTGTTCCATTTTGCGGCAACTCTCTCCTTCCACCTAAGATTTAACAGTACATATGCGCTGAGTCCCTCTTCTCAAAACACCCTTCTCGAAGTGTCACTTAATAAAAGTTTTAATCAGAAAACTGAATAATGCATTTGTTCCAGTATCTTTGTCTTAAATACAGTGGTTACCATGAACATATCCTCCTGTAACAGATAATACAAGCTATCAAAAAATTCAGTATTTTGGGGAGATTTCACTTATGCAAAATTGTAGAAATGGTAATACACCTTGAAGCCAAGAAGTAACCTTTATATTTTAAAGAGCGCTTTTTTCCGCCCCATGAATCATAAACCGTCCTTCCAACTAGAAATTAGTAAGACAAACAAAGAGACCTTTCTCTCATACACTCTTCCATAGATGCATACTATGTGCAACTATTCCTTCCCCTGCAACATGGGGAAAGAGAGCTTGTGTAAGCTTGTCAACGCACATCTTTCTTGCCAACTTAGCAGTGCCGCATGATGGTCTTATAAACCTGGATGACGTGATGCCTCCAGAGCACTCTGTTAGGCCAACAAACTCAAAAGCAAGAGACCTGGAATCTAATTGATCTAACTGTATCGCATAGGAAGACCATGCATGACCCAAAGGCAAAGCCTAAATCATTGTATTTAAGAGAAGTACATCTTCTTGCAAGAACAGTAATTGCTTCACCTTTGCAGCTAGCAGCTCCAGACATTACTTCAAACTTTGTCTAGGTCAGAAGTTAGCATAATATTTGCGTAATAGTTGCATTTAAAGTGAGGCATTTCCTTTCATAGTATGAATTCTGATAGAATAGAGCAAAACAAAAATACTGTTGATATCTACTAAGTTTTACTCTCCGTTTTATTTTGCTATCATGTCATCCCCACTGTAATACTTACAGTCGGAGCAGGAGCCATAATGCCCATTGGTACAGGAATCATAGGGGTCCCTGAGAAAGACAAGACATTAATATTAATGTGCCCTGTTGAGATTACTGAAGAATACAAATGAACTGATCGCAGACATGATTTCCAAACCAGACAGCAATTTTGGCCAAATAAGAATTTCACAGTACCGATTACCAGTAATTCCTTAAGCATTCAAGCATAGCCTGAGTACACTAACATACCACGTGTATCCTGGTCACTTTTATCATATTACCATTTCAATTTTGTTAGTCACAAACAAATCTATTTTCAAAGCATATTCAAACCACAGTATTTTTCTAGAAGATAGCTGTGTGATGAATGAGGCAGGGAATTCCATAAATACAGAGCAAAAGCAGCTAAAGTGCTACAGATGATAATCTCATTCCTGACTTGCTCAATTCGCATAGCACAATCGATTCTGCATACAGCTTCGGGATGAGGTCCTATAGAGAATGCCACCAGGCTTCATGCTACTATTTATGGAATAGCTTATTAAAGGCGGCATAGAAAACCTCAATCCAGAAGCTCCCTACCTGCTCAATATTTGACTTGGCAGTCTCTAAAACTTAATTTAAAACAGTATTTAATCAGGTGAAACCATGCAATACCCTCCTTCCCACTACCAAATGCACTGGCAGCTTTAAGTACAATCATGTGAGCCAATATCCGATCATAATACAGGCTGTTTATCTTTCCATGCCAGCTGCTAGAGCAGGTTAAAGATATTAAGTGAATGGATTTCAAAACTACTTGCTGGCCAGTAAAGACACTAAGACTCAAGAACAATGAAGCCAATCTCATGTTCTTCAGAGAAATACCCTCTAGGGATCCTAGATCTCTTTTTTCATTCTACAAAAAACTTTCTTCGTCTTTCACACTCAATCCTTCCCTCTTGATCCTTCTCTTCTCCATCTCTCTTACTGCTGTATTCATAAAATCCTAACCAAACTTCTGCAACCTACTGTTCCTGGACTTGTTCCCCTACTTTCTCCAGTGCTTAGTCCTGAAACAATACTTGTCCTCAGACACCCTCTCCAGCTTTCTCCTCATCCGCTCTAGTTTTGCTTTGATTCCATCGTTTATTTTCTCCATCACTCAGTCCTCTTCCTCAGTCCCTTCATATTAAAGTCATACTACCTCCTATCCCTCCAAACCATTCAGAGAATCAAAAGGTGTATTGCTCTCCCATTCTCTCAGTTTTAATGCACCATGGCATCTCACAGACTGGAGGAACTACTCCAAGACAAGACTCTGTCTGTGCAGCCCTATAACTATTACAACTGTCATTATCATGACGCTGAACTTGGATTTTAAAGTTACAACTCAGTAAGATACTTGTGTTATCACTGACAGTTTTCTGAAACTATCAGCCCAGTGCTCAGCAAAAGCAAAAAAAAAAAAAAAAATCAATCAAAAAGTTGGGCATCATCAGCAAATATACTGATGATCAAGACCACAGGCATCACTTAGCTGCTACACAAAAACCTGGTGCACCTATACCTTGAATACTGCCTACAGACCTGGTCTCTGCAACCCAGGAACAACACACAGCCTTAGAGAAGAACAACTACATGACTTAAGTGTTGAAGCAACTGCTTTACTAAGAAAGACTCTACACTGAGAGACTCTTCAAGTGTGGAGGTTTGCAAGGCATGGAACACGACTGAGGCGTACAAAACCACAAAACACAACTCCCACATCAGAACTGGGGCAGGAGGGGGACACTAAGTAGGCAAAGAGTTTAAAGACAGACATAAGAAAGTAGCACTTTACACAGTGGTTAATGAACTTCTCAAATTTGGTGCAAGAGGCGACAGTGGAGATGAACAGTATCAGCAGGTTCGAAAAATATCAAAATGTTCATGAATGACAGGTCCAGAAAAAGATAAGGAAAAATGAAAGATCATATTCTAACATCCCTAACACTAGAGTTGTGAGGAAACAGACTCAGAAAGCAGATAGGTGTACATGCCCACCCTAAATACCATCTTGTATTTCCATTGCCCAGACAATGCATCCGGCTATATGGACTGCTGGTCTGACCCACTACAGCATTTCTTACATACGAACTGTAATTTTTTACATCGTAATGGTATCCGATAATCTTCAGAGATGACAAGAGTTATCCATCGCCTCCTTATCAAATCTTCCACACTTAAGAGACAGAAGTGCTAGAACTTCTTATTTTTAACAGCCATATTCTTAAGCAAAGCAAAACACTTCCTAACTTCATTCTTACTCAAGCAAACCGCTCTAGCTGAAACTTTTCAAAAAATTACAGGCTGAGTAAGATAACTAGAATATGAAATTTTGGCCAAACAGCTAGCTAAAGGTATAATATTGTAAGCCACTAAAATTGTGATCTTACGTACGGAATAGCTTCAGAGTAGACTTTCATAAAGTCACCGTGGCATTTCTGGCATTTTCAACTCTATCAATACACTTGTGTTAAGTAGTGAGAGATCCATATCCTCTACATGTTGAAATATGTTGTCTGCACAGGTAAGCAAATAATGTTTCTAGTGCGCAGAGAAAACTAATACCAGGCTCCTCCACTCTACATATTGTTTGGATTACTAATACTGAAACAAGACTATTTATATATAAAGTCAAACACAGCAAGAAAACAAAAATATCTTTGTTGCACATGTTAAGAAGCAAACGTTCAGAGCAGAAACTTGTATCAGGCATTTAAAAATATTCTTTGGGAAGTTATTTTTAAAAGGATCTGGTGTTTTTCACACTAGTATATATAAACTGGAGCTAGTAAAGATAAGAGGTATGGTTTTAAAATTTAGCCTGAAATTTTTGATGGCAGAATCAAGAGCTCTGCCGTTAGCAGAAAATAGGTAACATCTCAGGGATCTCAGGAAAAAAGTTTAGAAAAATTAATGCAAGTAAGGTAAGGATTAGCCTGATGAAGGGATGTGCACAAACCATTCCTGAGTTCAGCCATCTGGTTTCTGAATGCCTTTATTGTCTACAAAACACTTGTGCACAACATAGCTTAAGATCATACAGTCAGGAGTTATTTTCTGCAGCCCTTGTGATGAATTTTAAAGGGATAATTCTCTGATGTATTCCTCTCTCCCACTCGCTCTGTGGTCTCCTGCCTCCAGTCACTGTTATCTATATTGGCAATGTACAGAAAGAAGGTGGTTCCAGACCAACGAATTAAAGTCTCAACGCAAAAAACAGAGGCTGATCTTACAGATGAACAAAGAAAAAAGGTGGGATTAATTTTGGGAAGATTAGAAGGAATGAGGAATGTAACAGTAAGTTTGCAAGATGCGTGGAGGAAAGTATGTAAGAAGCAGAATAAAAGAAAGTGGGACTTACAAAAAAGTGGAGAAAAACAATGCAAGAAGTTGGACCTTCTCTGAAAGTTACTCCTGTATTTTCACACCACACGTACTCAGTGTACCCAAGTGTTTCCAAAGGCTATTACAATGGCTTATTTGAAAGGAACTGAAAATCATAGTCTACTGTCAAAACAGTGGCTCTTAGAATACCTAACGTTAATAAAAATCACCACCTAGCTTCAGTCTTGAAAAAAAGGTCCAAGACAAAGTCTGGTATTGTCTCTAATGGTTTGATTTCTGGTCAGACATAAGCAGCTTTTGGCAGACCAAAAGAAGCTTGCTCACATGACATGGTCTGTGGGTAAACTAGAAACTCAATTGCAATGTACACGAATCAGAGCTACTGAAATACATTAAGGGCCAGTAACTTTTGTAAATAATACAATTCAGAATAATAAAAGGAAATTTATTTCTACAACACTTCCATATACTAACATAACTTACCAGGAGGTACAGGTGGAGGAAAGCCAGGAAACTGTGGGGGTGGGATCCCGGGGGGAAGCGTTGGAATTCCCATAGGAGGGCGATTCAAATGAGGTGGAAAAGACATTCTTCCAGTCACAATCTGTCAAAAAGACAGAAAAGGAAACTTGTACTAGCCAGTTCCCAAACATGAATTACAAAAGCAGTGCAAATGATAAGTCTCCATAATGATTTTAAATCTTTATATGGACATTCAACTACAAACTAAACCTATTTTTAACTCTTTTTCCCCAGCTATTCATTGAGTTACAAATGTAGTAGAAGTCTTCTTTCACAATGAAAAACAGCACTTCTAGGAAAGTGTTTCAGAATGAAGTGAAAAACAAAACTGTATCTGACTCCTCATACCAATGGTTTACAAGGAGTGTGAATTAAACAGTGTTTAACAGTTTGTACAGTTTCTTTAAAATAAAGCTATCTTTTGCAGTATCTGAAAACAGAAATAATCTTGTAATACATTTTCAATAAGGCAAGTGGTTCTCTTGTACAAGAAACAATCACACAATACAACTGTGGAACAAGATGAGATAAAGAACTGGGACATCCCGATGCTCAGCATTAACGGGAATTGTATTTAAGACAACACTGGGGAGATCCCCAAATTCCAGCACAGAGACAGTTAAAAGCTTGGAGGAGGGTTCACTGATCTGTAACTTCCCAGTTCACACATCTTCTAGAGCTCAACTTGAATGATAGCCCATGAGCTGAGAGTCAATATGCTACCATGGAGAGTAAAGATCGTTTTAACACCATTTGCTATTCAGATGTTTATTATTATGTGCGTATTACTGACCCTGTAACAGACACCACCCAATAATAAAAAACTCAAGATCACTCTTAACACAACTAATGAGGCATGTATTCTTGCTTCCAATATTATCTCAGCAACCTTACACGGTCAACTCTTCAAAAAAAGGTTAGCCCTCAGTTCTAAGAAAAAAACCAAAATTGGTCACCAATATTACTGTTGAGCGTATAGGTACATTCACACTGCAGTGAGGAAGCACTAGAGGAACTTCAAACACACTGACACCGTATCACAAGAAACAGGAAACCAGCTTTGCTGGAGACAGATGTGCCTTGCATACACGTATAAGAGCAAGTAGTTAATGACAGTCTTAAATACTAGAAGTAAGAGCTAATATCAGTACTCCACCATAACAGTAGATACATTTGAAAGAGCTAAAAAATTATAATGAGAGAATCACGTGCACAACTTTATTCCCACAGAGTCTGGAAACAACTATGAGAGAGAAATGTATATAGTGGACTGGAGAGGATAAAAGGGAAATCCAAATGCATTTGGTAATACCTTTGAACATCAAAACTTACTTATTCTGGTATAAGAACACATATATGACCCTATAGCATAATTCACCCAAAGACACATTTACAACTACATCAATTACAAGAGGTTCATGAGGATGGCCTCAAAGGGCATTCATCAACATCTCAGCAGGAGAAAAGATAAATGTTCCTGTGACACAAAGTCTAAGATGGTAGAAGAAACAAGACAGCAAATGCAAGCATTCCTCTAACAGTTCAGTAAAGATTATTTTATGCAATATAATAAACATAAAACCCTTAAAATCCATACGCCTAAGAACACACTTCTTTTCTGTCATTCTTGAATTTTTAAAACTGAATGGGCAAAGAAAAGCAGCAAAGGTGTTCTGCCAAAACATTTCACTTGGAAGAACATTGTTTATTGTCTCTTCAGACTATGTGCACATCAGCCGACCTTCCTCTAGAATCTGAAACTTGGATGGTACGGAAGGGAACAGAACTCCTTTATCCACCTTAATATCACTATTTGAAACTTTTTCACCAAAAAACCAGCCAAGGGCCCCAGGAAAGGCAGAAAATTAAGAACTTTAAGGCTCTCAGTCCTTATCTATATTGCAAGCTGATAGACAACTGGACAAAATTCAAAGCTGTTTTGAGGCAGGATGGTAGGCAGGTAAGGTATTGGGTCTGAGATGGTTCTAAACAGGCTGCAATAGCCTTACACCACCTGAGGTCCACAAGACATTAAGGAGTTGTCTTTTAAACAAAAAAGAACAATTGGGGAAGTAATTTTCCAGGCCGCCTGTAGGTGCAGTCCCTTCTCTCGCTCTGATAAGCACTTCATCTGAGACACCATTTTGGAGAAGGTAAAAAAAAGCCTAGGGACTAAGAGGTAAAACAGTCCTTTGAATTAAAAGATGCTGAAACATGCCATACTCAATGGATGTTACATATGCACACAGGCAAAGTTTTGGTTTTTTTTTAATTTAAATTAAAAAAGCAAAGATTTAGCAGTCAACGAAGTAATTGTCACTGCATAAAAGAAACAAGGCAGTTAGTAAGAATGGATCAAATTTAGTCTTTCAGGCTTCAACAATCCATTTTACTTGAAGCACTCTGTTCTTATTTTTTCCATATTTGTACAGCTATTTTCACAGCAGCTAGAAAGCTGCCCTGTTACTGACTTAATTCTTGCACACATCAATCCTAGCACCTCTGCTGTCTGTGACACTGAAGATCAACACTAGAATTAAAGAAAGCCTTCGTCTCTTTCTTGCTACTATATGTAACTACCAATGTGAAACCGGCAGAGAGAACAGTTTTGTTCTGTTTCCATCATGAAAACTGTGAGATCAACAGATACCATGATTGAAACTGCTCACTGGAGAAGTGAGAGATCTGGACAAGAGAGGAAGATGCATCCAGTTCCTTGCATCGGCCAAGACGCTACAATAAAGGGAGCTGCGTAGCACATTTTTTCTGTCAGCAGCTAGAGAACACACAAGAAATGTACATACTCTTCCAACAGTCAGAGGGGCCTCTGACATCAAATTTATAAGCAACTACAAACCAAGGGTTAGGTATGGAAAGTTAAAGAGATGCTAAGCTGGGTCTAGGTAGAATACACTTGTAGAAATCTCAGGAACAGTATCTTGAACTTCTCTGCAGACTGTCCTACTGCCCTGCCAGTACGATTCAGTGATCAGCATCTTGATATATTTACTGTGGTCTCAGTATTGTATATGGTGATCTTCAAATTTCCCCAATATATTCAAAAGTGTAAGTAAGGACCTAAACAGTCCTGAAATATTTTTAAAACCTCAGTTGACTTATGAAAGTATTACCGCAAGTGAAATTGGATGTAAGCAGCATTCTTGATAGCTGCATTTTAACTAGCAGCTCTTGAAGTGAGAGATTAATTTGTGTGAATGTTACAGTGGTCACAAAGATACCGGGGTAAGAAAAGCAGTGAGCATCTGGCCTGACGCCATTCAAAATACTGAAACAGTGACATCTTCAGCCCCCAAAATGATGGATTTGTGTCAGGTCTCCGACTCAAAGCGCAGTCAATTTAGGCTATGTCCATGCCAGCAAGTAGGGCAGCACAACAGGAGCAGGTCTATTAAACAAAACAGATGGAGCTGAGACCCTAATGTCCACACTATATGTTTTGGGGAGGTCCACCCCACTGGAACGAATGCCCATTTTCAGGTAAGAGTGCATTTTTCAATATATTTTAATCCAAAAGGAATCCGGTTCATCCGCTGGCATAGTGCAAGCCAATGTGAAAAAAGGTTTCCCAAGTGAGGATGACTGCGAGACTTCCTTCAAAAGCACACTCCTGATCCAAGTTAACACATTAATGTAGGCGCACACTTTATTAGCCTTAGGCAATTTTTGTAAGCTGCAGATTAACGATGTGACGGATGGCAAAACATCTAAGCTTACTCTAAGCAGACCCAGCTCAAATCCAGCCTGAGCTATTAACTAAAGCAAGTGCTACACAAACACAGCTATAGTATTCCAGGGTCAACTTTGGCCTAGAAGGAGTTCAGTTGCTTTCATACAGTGCTCTTCTGAGTTAATAAGTCCTGGTGGAACCAAACACCATGCAGAGCCAGCTGCACCAACCTTCTGAAACTTGGAGTGAGTACCGGAATACCCATATGGCTCTAAGGTTTGGTAAAATCCACTGAGACTTGTAAATTCTGACTCAGTGCTACCCCTGCTGGGCCGGAGGTCTGTCCATTAGAAGCACGCTGGCTCTCACGCACGACAAAACAAGTGCACAGGGCTGGCCTGAGGGCGTGCTGGACTCAAGTGTCTGAGACCACACAGAACTCAGACTTACTGTGAAACAAGGGTCACCGTCATTCAGAAATTGCTGCCCCATGCTTCTTTATTATCTCTGACTCCCAAAAGTCCCAATAAGAAGGGACTGACTATATGAGAAGATTGTACTGGTCTGGCTGCACTTTAATGTAATTTTTTTTTTTTTAAACCATAGTATTCTTTAAACCTTTTCTTTTAAACTGTAGTATTCTTTAAACCTTTTTTTTTAAAATTTACTCCATTTTTTTAATAAAGGGGTGAAGATATGTCATAAACAGAATGTAAGTTTAGTAAAAAATCACTGGTAACTAATGTATTTTAAACTGACAATTATATCACCTACTCAGGGCAGCATCATAATTCTACCAGTGTCACAGAATTAATCTCCTTAGTATCTCTGCGTTTACACATTAACTTTTATTTAAAAACCTGCAAAACATTTTAACCATTTTCAAAACAGTTAAGTTCCCCATGAAACAAACAGTTTCAATACTTACTGTTGAGCTGCTGTTATACTAAACAAAGTTAAAATTAACTGTAAAAATCCTGAAGTCTTAATGCATAAACAAACTTAGTGTGTTTTAAGAATACATACATGTGGTGTCATAACAGCAGTGACAGTATGGCTGGGGGGGGGGGGGGGTGTTAACTTCTCTCCAACATTTTCCCAATACAATTCTTCTGCACCACAAAAAGCTGTACACTTAGTCTAGAATAAGTTGCATGCAGTAGCTGTGCAAGCTAGTACTTCAAGTAAGGGAGCAGTAAGCACAAAACTTGTTTGCAATTTTTTTTTAAATTAACTACAATTCAGCTTCGATTATAATCTTAGTATTTAGATTATTACAAGAGCACCTGACAAAATCCACACCTATGGTAAGTGTGTAACACTATGCTATTTAGTAACACCCTGGTTAAAGAGATGTCATACCAAGACATTTGATTTGTATATCCATGT